GAAGAGGAGGAGGAGAAGGACTGTGGGGTCCTTCATGCTTTGTGAGTCTGGTTGTTTTCTTGCAAATATTTCATGACCCAACTAGGGAACATCTTCAGTGCTAGAATTGAGGGGCTTTGCAGAGAGGAGGAGGGGGAGGAGGAGGAGGAGGAGGAGGGGGGGAGAGGAAAGGAGAAGGAGGACAATGAGTGGGGTTCCTGGTGCTCTTTGAGTTTGGTTGGTTTTTTTTCAGACATTTCATTGCCCAACCATTTAATGCCATCAGTGCTAGAAGGTTGGGGAAAACCTACTTACAAGTAATCCTCGAAATACGACAACAGTGGAGTCCAAGATCTCTGTTGTTAAGCTAGATATTTCTTAAGTACGTTTTGCCCCATTTTATGCCCCTTTTCTTGCCACAGTTCTTAAGTGAATCACTGCGGTTGTTAATCACAAGGTTGTGAAGTGATTCCGGCTTCCCCGTTGACTTTGCCTGTCGGAACGCCGCAAAAGAGGATCACGTGACCCCGGGACACCCTGCAACCGTCACAAGTACATGCCAGTTGCCAAGCGTCCGAATTTTGATCACTTGACCACAGGGATTCCGCAATGGTCATAAATATGAAAAATGGTCATAAGTTGCCTTTTTCAGTGCCATTGAACTGTCACTAAATGAACTGTCGTAAGTTGAGGACTATCCGTAGCTTGGTAATGAATCAGCTGCAAGAAAATGACACAAGGACACCCCAATTCATTCCTGAACTAAAAATATTCTCTATTATTATTATTATTATTATTATTATTATTATTATAGTATCAGGGGTGTCAAACTCAATTTCATGGAGGGCTGCATCAGGGTTGTGGTTGACCTTGGGGGGCTGGGGTAGGTGTGGCCAGGGTGGGAGTGGCCAGGATGGGAGTGGCCAGCTCAACGTCGCTCATGTCGGGGGGTGCCTGTGAGGGCCCGGGCAGGGCTGGGGGGGATCCATTGTCTCCAGCCAAGGAAGCACCACACCTTTGTCCACCAGAGGGGCCTGGCTGTCCCTCTCAGGCCACGCAGGGGACCCCCAGCGATGCAGGCTGCCCGGACCCCTGGGCAGTGGAGGGCAAGCGCCCAGTCCAGCCTTTCCCAAGGGGGCGCCCAACTGCGCTTACCTCCTCAAGGCTGCTGCCGATTGGCTCACGCTCCTTGGCCAAGTTGTTCATGGCGTGTGCGGGAGGGCATCCCTCTCCCTCCCCATGAGGAGACCCGGCTTTGTAACCAAAGCATCCTCAGTGATAGGATGGGAGACCACCAGGAGAGGTCAGGAGGACAAAGGGATGGTAAAAGGGCAGCAGGGCTGCTCGTGGCCAAGTGGTAAGGTGGGACTTCCCTCAGAGCCTTCCTCCCGCTCATTATAATTTTCCTTCCTTCCTTCCTTCCTTCCTTCCTTCCTTCCTTCCTTCCTTCCTTCCTTCCTTCCTTCCTTCACTCCTTCCTTTATCCCTTTCTTTTTCCTTCCCTCTTTGTTCTTCTTTCCTCCTTCTTCCTTCCCGTCTTTCTTTCTTTTTGTTTATCTTTCCTCTTTCCCTTTCTCCTTCCCTGTCCCTTCTTGGATGCTCAAATGCAAAAGGGGAAACATTTATCTATGCCTCCTTGCCTTGTGATCAAAGGCCACTTTGGCTAGTAGTCTGTGGCCACTTAAAAGACCGAGAACAAACCAGGCTCAATTTATTCCATGTTTGCATTTAGTGGGGTCGTCCACAGACAACACTACATGGGTGGGACTCATGGCAAGGAGATCTCACAGACTCCCCCGCCCCAACTACCAATGATGGGTGGAAAAATTATGAATATGAATTTCTCAACTGGGTACGATCTCTCTCTCTCTCTCTTTCTCACTCTCTCTCTTTCTCTCTCTCTCTCTCATTCTCTCTCTCTCTCACACACACACACACACACAAATAAACATGCAAACAAGCACATATGAACTGAGATAAAGAAATCTTTGGTTATTTTAAAATTTGGAAGTATAAATATTAACAGTTAAATTTGAATATTGATTTGTTTATAAAGATTGAATGTAAAGCTAATTAAGATATATATAAGCTAAAAATATATTGATAAACGTAATAAAACATATCTTCACTTAGCTGATAGAATAAAACTGTACTAGCTCCAATATGAGATAAATAGACATTAAGAGAAAAAGAGAGGACTATTTGATGTTGAAACAAGAGAAAATTTGGTTACTAAATTTAAGACGTTTGGAAATTAATAGAAAAAAAGAATGTTATACTGTATTATTAATTAGTTGACGTAAGATGGTGAGAAATAGAATATATCCAGATAGATGTGTATTCTGAATATTAGATTTTGTGATGCATTGTGATAATGGGAACTTTGGTTACTTAAAACTTGGAAATTATAAATACCAAATGTTCAAGTTAAACATTACCGGGAAATTAAAAATTGGGAAAAACTAATTAGGACATTGATCGTCTATAAAGATTGACTGTTAAAATAATAAGGATATGTATAAGCCAAAAATTACTGATAAATGTAAGAATTGATTTAATAAGAATTGTATTAGTTTAGACAGGAGACAGTGAATACTGAGGGGAAAAGAGAGGAAAAATTTAATGTAATAGTTTGAGATCTTTACTAAAGATACTTGTATGTTATTGTATTATCGATCAACCCAGCCGCCACGTTGCTTTTTGAATACTTAATGTAAAACTAGAAAATCAATAAAACATTTATTAAAAAAACAACACATACAATCCTTTATTGCTTCAGCGTTGAAAAAGCATCTTGTGGTGCTGAAACCACAGTGATGTCCACTAGATGGGGACCAAAGTCTTTGGTGGCATCAGCTGAGGTCCTCAAAGGTCACCAAGGCTAAGAGGTCTCAAGACGGTTATGAATTGGTCCAACCTCTTTGTGAGGCCAACACAGCAGGGAGGCAGCGCCAATTCTGCAGCTGACATCCTGTACGAACCAGATCCATCAATCAAGATAGATAAGATAACCTTTACTGTCATTTTTTTACTGTGGGCACAACGGCACACATCAAAAATGAAATTTAGTTGCCCGTTCTCAAAGTGAAACACATACATGACACACACCTAAACTTACTATGTACAACATATGTATAGACCCACACCCCTACATATACATATCAAATAAATATTGTCCATCTTGAATATATAATGGAAGGAGGAACCTTGAGAGTTCTCAAGGTTAATGCTGTATGGAACGAAACTATGGCTGAATCTGGATGTTCTGCTACGGATACCACGGAGCCCCCTCCCTCCCAGAAGGGAACAAAGAAAACAGGTTGTGGAGAGGATGTGTCGTGTCCCAGATAATCCTATGGACCCTGCTCAAGCAACACTTCTGTGCTACGTCCTGGATGGGAGGGAGGGAACTGCCAATGATCTTTTCTGCCGTCCTCACCACTCTCTGCACCGCCTTCCTGTCTGAAGCAGGGATGCTTCCAAACCAGACTGGGATGCTATATGACAGGATGCTCTCCATCCTCCCTCTGCAGAAAGTGGTCAGGACAGGGGAAGGATTTTCTTGAGGGTTTTTTGGAAGACGTTTCGCTTCTCATCCAAGAAGCTTCTTCCGCTCTGACTGGTCATTCACACACAAGAATGGCAGCTTGCCAGGAAGTTACCCGTCCCCCCGTTTCTAACCTGCCAGATGGAAAGGCTAACAACCAGCTCTCTGTAAGGAGTATAAATCCTTCCATTTTCCCCACCATCCAGAACCTGAAGAAGCTTCTTGGATGAGAAGCGAAACGTCTTCAAAGGAAAAACAAGGAAGTCCCGTTGCCTCTTGGAAAAAGCACCAGTTCAAATTCAACCAAAGCTTGGCTTATCCTCCCTGCAGCCCAGAAGCCCCGAGTGGCACAAGGGGAAGCCTGGCACCCAGGCGGAGGTTGGGGTGGAGGAGGGGTGCCTCTACCCGCCTTCTCCCCACTCCAAGGGTTTGCTTGCACAATTAAGGGTGTGACATCCTCCACTCCGGTTTTGAACCTGACACTGGGTAGAAAAGGGCCACCTTCTTGCATCTGGAGCCTCTGGGCTGCCCTCCAGGTGCACACCCCAATTCTCCTGGGTCCAGCAGTTCTCACAGGGTGGGCTGGGGAATGACGGGGGTTCCCTGGACCCTTTCAGGGGGGTCTACAAAGTCCAATAAATAAATATTTTGACATTTCTGTTTTCATTTCTAATCCAGGGAAATAATAATAATAATAATAATAATAATAATAATAATAATAATAATAATAATAATAATAATAATAATAATAATAAAGTTGGAAGGGACCTTGGAGGTCATCTAGTCCAACCCCCTGCTCAGGCAAGTAACCCTGTACCATTTCGGACAAATGACTGTCCAGTCTCTTCTTAAAAACTTCCAGTGTTGGAGCATTCACCGCTTCTGGAGGCAGGTTATAATAATAATAATAAAATTGGAAGGGACCTTGGAGGTCATCTAGTCCAACCCCCTGCTCAGGCAGGTAACCCTATACCATTTCAGACAAATGGCTGTCCAGTCTCTTCTTAAAAACTTCCAGTGTTGGAGCATTCACAGCTTCTGGAGGCCGGTTATAATAATAATAATAAAATTGGAAGGGACCTTGGAGGTCATCTAGTCCAACCCCCTGCTCAGGCAGGAAACCCTATAGCATTTCAGACAAATGGCTGTCCAGTCTCTTCTTAAAAACTTCCAGTGTTGGAGCATTCA